ATAACTTAATAGGGGCACGGCCCGCCACCCTTCCCCCCGATCATGGAGGCCATCAGCTGAAGTGATCTTCCCCCCATGCCGCAGAGGCCTTCAGCCGAAACGGCCCCTCCCTCTCTGGGTTCATACCCCAGAGACCCAACCAACCAAATTCCTTCGACAACTTGCCTGACAGGATAACCTCCCATCAGCAGCAACAAATCCCAGTTTGAATGGTCGAGGCTCCCGCCACGACGAAACCCCGTTAGCGTTAGCAAAATTTCCGTTCTTATATTACGACCGTTTACCATTTCCAGCAATGCGTCTTGTGCGCAGGAATGGTTTCACCTAGGTAGGGACGATGCTTGCGCTTGCGCAGGCCTCTGCCCTCAGTTAGCTTCTTTGGTTGGTTGGTTGGTTCTAGAATGTCAGAAAGGCATCGAGATGGACATGGAGGCAGCTAACCAGACAGGCAAGATTTTATGGAGCCATGCAGGCAGCTACTTAGGCCAGTATCTAGTCAGCCAGAAGTTACCTAGCCTGCACAGGAGATCTCTAGGTAATCATTTGGGTAAAGCAGATATCTTGCCAAACATGCAAGCCCTAAGCAGTCAGACAGATGTCTTAGTCGTACATCTGGAGTGACGGGCAGGGAGCTACCCAGGCAATCATACATACATCTCAGCAGCAAGGCAGAGAACTGTCTTGACAAACAAGACTGGCATCAAGGCAGTCTAAAAATTCAGGTATGTGTCTAAGGATGTGGATTGGTGTCAAAGATGTTGGGCAAGTATGTGGACAGACCAGCAGGCACAGAGCCATCAAAGTAGTCATTTACTTATCTATGTTCCTGTTCCAGCAATTAGGCAGCTAAGCACATGTATTTGTAGTGTAGATATGTGGGAAACAGGCTGGCATCTAGTCAGGTATCAGGTTGCAAAAGGTGTCTGAGGCAGTTGGGGAAGTTGACTTGGCTCGTAGCAATGAAGTCTTATTGGGTGATCAGCTATGTAAGACTGGAGTTACAATGCAGTGTTTCAGAGACACTCTGTCTCCATCCTCAGGACAAAAAACATCAGTCATGTATTAAGAATGTGCGTAGAGTGCATATGCATGACGTGTTTACACGCTATGTACAGTGCACAGTACATGTGTTGAAAGGCAGTAACTGCAACACGGTGTTCAAAGAGTCCAGCCTGTGTTAGTTACCATGCAACAGCATGTCATGGAATACTGGCTTGTGCTTGTGAAATGTGCACATCAGTTGTCATCACAGTAGCATGCAGATATTTTTGACTGTGTATTCTGTGTTAGAGGGCCACACACCGAGTACTGCAGAAGCCGGTTGATGCAGACACCAAGGCAGTCAGCAACTGGGTGAGATAGAGGCCAAGTCCGGCAGAGACAAAATGTGGCATTCACTGAGGCTGGCATGCATCTCTTCCAGAGAGTTTTGAAGAAGAAAAAATCAAAATATTCGAAAAATCATAAAGTGCTGGAAATTGCCTGAAAAGCGCACAAAACCAAAAAATTTTGAAAAATTTTGAAAGTGGATTTTTTCAAAACTTTTTGTTTCGTGCACTTCTTGGACATTTTGCAGAATTTTATGATATTTCGAAAATTTTCAAATTTCTAAACATTTCTTTCAAAATTCTCCCCACCTGATGCCTTGCAAATCGGTCTCTGTCGTACTGTTTCTGATGTACTGTGCCTCTGACGATGGCGGTCTGTGCCTGACTCGGTCTCTGACGTGCCGCCTGAAAAGCCCAGGTGCGGCACACATCACGTAAGTCAAGAGACCGAGACGGGAAGAGACACGGTTGGTCACACTCCAAGCCCTGCAGGGGCCTGCTGATGCAGACACCGAGGCAGTCAGCAACCGCGTGAGACAGGCAGATTCCGGCAGAGACAGGCGGTGGCATTCAACGAGGCTGACATGCAACTCATGGGGAAAGTTTTGAAAAAAATTCGAAGAAAAAATAGAATGTGATATTTTTCAAAAATTTTGTTTTGTTCGCTTTTTGGATAATTTCCAGCATTTTTTATTTTTCGAAAATTTTCAAATTTTTCAAAATTTTCCCCACCTGATACCTTCCAGAATCGGTCTCTGTCGGACTGTACTGTGTCTCTGACGAACGCGGTCGTTGCCTCACACGGCCTCTGACGTGCAGTCGCTCAAAAGCCCAGGTGCGGCAGACATCACGTAAGGCAGGGAGATCACAGGGGATCGAGTTCTCTGCTCGGTGGCATCGAGGGAGAGAGAAGGAGAGAGACATTCGGAGAGCACAGATCAGCGATTCGATTCGGAGGATCAGAGCAGAGAATGGAGGAAAATGAATTGGCCTTTCCTAAGGCCCGAACTGCCCCAGTCTTTCCTGAAGCAGCTCAAGGCCGCCATCATCGAGGAGAGGAAGCGCCGAGACGCCGCAGCCAAAGGGGGGAATCGAGCCACCGCC